GATTTTACCTTTGAGTAATTTTAGTAACTGCAGCGATTTTAATGTCACGGGAGGTGACGTAGTGAGTGACTGACTTACATTTTCATGATGAAAGCATCATAAAATATCCGAAAATATTACGTTTCCCATACTTACATATGCGACTAAAGGATGTGTATTTACTCCAAAATGGTATTATTGATCACTGGTAATGAGTTATCCCCACACGAAAAATTGTTGTGTGCTGGACAACGTACGTAGAATGCGAAGTAAGGTGAATAATATTTTTTGTAGAAAATTTTACTCACTACAGAAAAGGGCAGCAGTTATAATAAGCTTAGGTTGTTAATTTAGCCATTATAAGCGAAAATATTACTACATGTACCTTTACCCTTAAATTTCTCGTGACTTATTGATTACATGATAAACTTTCATAGAAGCAAAATAATTAAAGATTTGATTCCCTACAAAATTGTGTTTATTAGTTATTTACACAAAATAGCGGCAGCCCTATCATGTCGCCAACTTGAACTTAACATAAGGAAGCAATAATCTGACGCTACACCCAAAAAAGCTTACTGCCACTCAAATTGTAGGACAAGATACCTATTTTCTGGCTAATAAAGAACGTTGCTATTTAAACAGGTTGTAGTCACTTGTGTCGGGCCCATGGTGCACAGTTTGTGGATGCAGCTTGTTCAAATGGGAACGAACCTTGCTGGGCACATGTATATTTCCTAAATTATGGAAAACACCTTTGCCCAAAGTAAGTAATCCTAGCTCATATACTGACCTGAGGCCTATTAGTATTATAATACTATGCTTACCAAATTATTGGAAAAGGCAATGTATACACAGATAAATGGATGTTTCGAAATATGGCATGGTATACCACCATCTAGACTATCTAGACAATGCGGATTTAGGAAGGGATATAATACTGCTGCATCATTGTTAGATCTAAGTGACAATATTGTCAGGGCTAAGGATATCTATCAAACAGCTTCCTTAATTCATTTAGATTTTACTAAAGCGTTTCACATAAATGTAAATTTTATTGTTTCTCTGGATCATGAGTTGCTATAATCAATAGCTTTTTAAGAAATAGATCACAAAGAGTTGTCATCGATATGAACACTTCTCCTTAGCCTTTAATATCATCGGGAGTACCTCTAGGGTCGCTTCTTGGACCACTTCTTTTTATTTTACATATCTCCGACCTTGATAAGGTTGTTAAACACTGCCATATTCATTTTTTTGTGGATCACTCGCAATTATACAATAAGTATACAAAAATACATAATCTTAGGTTAAATCCAGAAAAATTAAAGTGATTATATTCTCTCCTAAGAAATTCAGAAAGCAAATTAAGAAATATACGACTATATCATTAAATTGCGAAAATATAAAAGTATGAGAAACTGTGAAAAATCTAAGCACATCTCTTGATGAATGTCTGAATCATATGGACAATGTTACAAAAAGTTGTTTTTTAGTACATCGGCAATTATACTTGAACAAACAAATTCATGATTACAAAACTAAAAATAATCTCTGTGAGTCATTAATTATTTCAAAAATTACATACTGCGATATTGTTTATCATCCGTTTTTAGATTCAGTATCCTCAAGCCCTTGCAAAAAGTTCAAAATTCATGTTGCAGATTAATCTGTATCTTAAAAAAATATAACCACCTTACCTCCTCCATAAAATTGGAATTCATAATCTATTTAAAATTAATTTACTACGTAGTCGTGCCATAAGTTCTGTCCCATGATAATCTCATGATAAAAATGAAACAAGATAAGATATATTTATATGAAAGATATTATTTATTCGACAACATTTTTAGAATTCATAATCAAACAGTTTTATTCAAAATGTCCCCCCTTGACCTTCACACACTGCTTCAATCTCGCGGGCCACTCATCTATCACTGCACGCACAGCTTCCAAAGGAATAGCTGCCGCTGATCGGATCAAATCCGCTTTCAGGGACTCGATATTACGGTGGGCTTTGGAGCAGGCCAACCGCTCTAGCAGGTCCCACAACTTGTAGTCTAAAGGATTGAGGTCCGGACTCCCTGAGGGCCAATCTTCCGCAGCAATGAACTCTGGCACATTGCTTTCCAGCCAGCGCTGCGTACTCTTAGCCTTGTGAGCGGGGGCGGAATCCTGCTGGTAGACCCAGTGTTGGTTGGCAAACAATGTACCACTTAAAGGCTTGACGATAGGATCCAGTATGTCGCTCTGATAGTTTGCCGCTTTTGTTTTCACGCCCTGTTTACAGAAATGGAGCTGAGTGACCCCTTCGTAGGACACCCCCCACCAAACCATGACTGACGCAGGGTGGTGGCCTCTCTCAACTCTCGGAATGATCTCCGAAGCTTCCTGTGAACTCCTTGCATACACTTTGTCATTTTGTCGGTTGAATTTTTCTTCTATGGTGAAGATTTTCTCATCCGTGAACAAAATCTTTCGGAATCCCCCAGCTGCGTACCTCTCCAAGAGCTTCTTGGATCTTGTCGCCCTGATGTGTCGCAAGGTGGCCGTAAGTCGCTGGCCCGTACGTCTCCGGTAAGCCCCTAGCCCTAGGTCTTGTTTAATGATGCGCGACATCGTCCGGACAGGAATCTTCATTTCCCTGGATAGGATCTTCTGCTTCCGGAGTGGATTCCTTTGAATCCTGGCTTTTACGGCTTTGATGGCTGCTGGAGTCCTTACTTGACGAGTTCTTCCGCTTCTTGGCCTGTCATCAACAGAGGACGTCTCATTGTACCGTTGAATGGTCCTAGACACAAATTTACGCGATATTTGAAGGCCGCGTAAGAGTTCAAAAATCTGACTAGCACTGTGATTACACTTATGTAAAGCTATCACTGCAATACGGTTCTCTGCCTTGCCCCACTCCATCGTTATGCTTCGAGAGATCAATACAAACTGAGGTATATGTAATTACTCGAAAAGCGCTTAATCAACTGACACCACAATGTAAACAATCGGACAAGTATTAACAGGTCTACACTTGTTTGAAAACGAGGGACAGAACTTATGGCATGCGTTATAGTACAGAAGATTTACCCCTACCACTAAAGAAGAGGATCGAGTTTCCCTGGATCAGCGCTTTGCCTTATCCAGTCCTATTTTATTGTATTCAGAGTTAGTTAGTCTGTTGTTAGCGCTCATACTACATACATCAATAAAATTGTATTTTTGATAATCGAGAATAAATCTTTTTTAAAAAGCAAGTAGACTGACTCGGTCAGATAATTGGCGCAGCCAGATCGGATTTTCGGGCTGTTTCGCGAATCAATCGAGACCGCGAAAGCAGTTTTCGTATCGACGAATTTACCGGAAAAACGGCCTACGGACTAAAGACTTTGGTGAGTGGGAGTTCGAGCGGAACCGGTCTATCGAAGACACCGTGTGCAGCTACCACCTACGAAGTCAGGGATTTGGACCACACATCGCCCAAATCTGCAAGCGGAACATTTTGGAGAAGGACCAGATCGCCCAACCAAGATCGTCCCCTTATAGTTAAGCAACCAAGTAAAGACAAAGAAAGAAACGTGATGCACTTGATCATCCTCGTATTAGCGTAAGTGCAACTATACATTTTAAATGTCTTTGGAAGATATTGCAGAGGCTATAGATAATTTGACACTTTCAACAGACTCACCTATTTTAAGACCACCTAGATTAAATATTGAAAATATTCCAAGCATGTCTCAATTCAGACCAGAATTTTTAAATTGCGTCCCAGAGTTTGACGGAAATCCTAATGACTTAAATAGGTTTCTATCAGTGAGTGAAACATTAATTGCAAATTTTTATGATATACGGAACCCACATAATTTCCAAAATATCTATTTGCTAAATTCACTGATCTCGAAATTAAAAGGAAATGCTAAAGTGCTTGTGAATATCCAAAATATCACAAGTTGGGCAGATTTAAAAGACATTCTGACTAGGAATTTTTCTGATCAAAGAGATGAAACTTGTCTAAATCGTGATTTGGTTATGTTGAGGCAAATGCCAAATGAAACGCCTCAAAAATTTTATGATAAGTGTCTTCATATTTTGAATCTGCTATGCAGCCATGTAAACGTACATGAACATTCTGAAGAAGCAAAAGTGTTAAAAAGAAATTTATATCAAGAATTAGCTCTGAAAACATTTTTGTGCGGACTACGAGAGCCCTTGGGTACAACAATTAGATGTATGAAACCCACATCTCTCAGCCAAGCTTTACAATTCGTTATATCTGAAGACAATGTCAGCTATTTCCAAAATTATAACAAAAATTTTGGAAAATCACAAAATGTGCCCCAGAATCAAACTTCCAGGCCAATGCAAAGGCCAATGATAAGTCAAAATAGACCTTCATACTTTCAGCCTACTAATTATTCATTCAGTCAGCCGAACACTTCAACATTTCAACCTAGGTTCAATTCGACTTTTCCGACTGGACCTGTAAATTTGCCAAAACCAGTTTATCGTCCTCAGAGATTTCCGACGAATTCTCAAGTTTTTAGACAAACACAGAATAACAGAAACGTTTTCAAACCTAACCCTAACCGTACTTTACCACAAACTACTCCAATGAGTACTTCTACTAGAATTTCTTTACCACAAACTACTCCAATGAGTACTTCTACTAGAATTTCTTTCAAACCTGAACATAATTCGACAGCCCAGCAACAACCAAAACCAAATTGGATCGCTGAAGAGCTATTCAATACAGAGATAGAAAGCAATAACACCTATGAAGTTCCTGGTAACGAATCTTTTGTTTGCGATCAAACTGTAGCTGAACCACAAAATTCAGATACATATTTCACTGATCAGTATTGCGAGTATTATACACAAGATATTCCTGAAAATGATCACGTAGATCCACCTCAAAATTTTCAGAAGGACTCATTCATAGAACACAAGACCTAGCACCAGAAGTAATTTCACTTAACGCCAGCAATGCTAGCGAACTATCCTACATTCTTTTTCCCGAATATGGAATTAAAATGTTGATCGATTCTGGATCAACTAAGTCATTTATTGATCCCAGTATTGCTCGTAAATTTTTTCCAAATTTAATCAGAGATGATCCATTCGTTGTATCAACTGTTTTTCAAAAATCCGCTCACAAATATAGTGCATCCATCCCGGCATCGAAAATTTTCAATCTTCCTAATCGTATAGATTTGAAGTTTTACCTATTTAAATTTCACAATATTTTCGATGGATTGATTGGATTAGATAATCTAAAATTATTGAGAGCCGATATTAATTTAAGCAAAGGAACTTTACACACGCCCTACGCCAAAATTAGACTAAAATTTCACCAGCTTTCTAACGACTTGAATTTGATAACCGTCGCACCTCGAACCGAACAAGTAATAAAAATCAAAACATCGATCGCCAATGGTGAAATCGTTATTCCTCATCAAAAATTTCATAATTGCGAGATACCTGAATGCCTTACGATAGCAAAAAATAATTTTGCGTTGACAACGATTTTGAATAACACTACTAAGCCTGTTACATTAAATTTTTCTCAGCCGATTTCAGTAGAATCACTTAATTTATCAGAAATGCCAGAAATTGATCTCAATTATTTAGACACGTCACAAAAATTTGATCTAGATTTGTCGAAAATCAGAATTGACCACCTAAATTCTGAAGAGAAATCAGGGATACTTCAACTTTGCAGAGAGTTTTCAGACATTTTTTACCAGGACGGAACTCCACTAACATTTACTAATAAAGTCAAACATCAAATAAAAACCAAAAACGAAAGGCCCATTTACACAAAATCGTATCGCTATCCATTTGTTCACAGAGGCGAAGTAAATAGCCAAATACAGAAAATGTTGGATTCCAATATAATACGTCCAAGTAGCTCAGGTTATAATTCACCTATCTGGGTCATTCCAAAGAAGCTAGACGCTTCGGGGAAGCAAAAATGGAGAGTTGTAATTGACTACCGAAGTTTAAATGAACAGACTATTGACGATAAATATCCATTACCCAATATCAACGACTTGCTAGACAAACTTGGCAGATGCCAGTATTTTACTACCCTTGACTTAGCGAGTGGTTTCCATCAAATCGAGATGGAGGAAACAGACATAGAAAAAACCGCCTTTAGTACCGAAAATGGGCATTGGGAGTTTCTCCGGATGCCTTTTGGCCTAAAAAACGCGCCCGCCACATTCCAACGCGTCATGGATAATATTTTAAGGGGGATACAAAACGAGAAATGTCTCGTATACCTCGACGACATTATAATTTTTTCTACATCCCTTCAAGAACATATTGAAAATTTAAGGTCAGTTTTCCAACGACTCAGAACTTCAAAATTTAAAATACAGCTCGATAAATCAGAATTCCTTCGTAAAGAAGTAGCTTATCTCGGACATGTAGTCACACCAGACGGCGTTAAGCCAAATCCAGATAAAATTATTGCCATCCAAAAATTTCCGATTCCAAAAACGACTAAGCAGATTAAAAGCTTTCTCGGACTTATTGGTTACTATAGACGTTTTATTAAAGATTTTGCGAAACTCACAAAGCCTCTAACTAAATGTCTAAAAAAGGGAGCCAAAATTGAACACGATGCAGAATTTATTGACTGTTTCGAAAAATGTAAAAATGTTCTTATCAATGAACCGATACTCAAGTATCCAGACTTTTCTAAGCCATTTAACTTAACCACGGATGCGAGCAACGTAGCCCTTGGTTGTGTACTTTCACAAGGCCCTATAGGACAGGATCTTCCTATCGCCTATGCTTCGCGCACGCTTAATGATTCCGAACGAAATTATAGTACGATTGAGAAAGAATTACTAGCAATAGTCTGGGCGACTAAATACTTTAGACCCTATCTTTACGGGAGAAAATTCAATCTAATTACTGATCATATGCCCTTAAAATACTTATGGTCCCTTCGAAACCCTTCTTCAAAATTACTAAGATGGAAAATCAGGTTAGACGAGTATGATATGAATATCATCTATAAGAAAGGCAAACTGAATACAAATGCAGATGCCCTATCTCGTGTAGAGATCCATACAAAAGAAACCAGTTCATTTTGGAACGACTTAGATGATTTGATTCAAGAATGCGCAGGTACTCAACACCAAAACGTTAAGTTTGACCGACCAGTTCAGAAAGGCTCATCTGAATTAAGTACACCTACATTTAACTTTTCTACCCCAAAACAACCTGATACCGAATCTATGTTCGTAAACGTCGATAATGACGAAGACAGTCTTTTTATTCAACCCCTGGACGAAATTGTAGATATCATTGAACATGAACAAGTCAATCTAGAATATCAAAATAATCGTCCTGAAAATCCAGACGAAACTGTACATTCAAATGCGGACCAACACCCCATTCAGACAATTCCTATAGTTGATTACGCAGTTAATCAGGGAAATAATCAGATTATCATAAGTACAGTAAAACATTCACCTGCACCACCAAAAATTTCTATTTTATTTGAAAGCAAGCAACGAATTAACGTACAATTTTCAGAAAATGATTTTGACGATGATGTATTTAAATTTATTCGAGATTATATTGCTCCTAACGTCATTTATCACTTATACTTTGAAAATCCAGATATATATGAAAAATTTTCTGTTGTTCTACAAAGGATGTTTAAGTCCGATGCTTTGAAATTCAAAATGTGTAGAACCAAATTAGTCGACGTTACAGATAAAACTGATATCAAGGACATTATCCGGAATTACCACGAAAGCAAGTCGAATCATCGTGGAATTGAGGAAACGCATCAGAGAATAAAAGAAAAATATTTTTGGCCTAACTTGAAAAAATCAATCCAAACATTTATAAATGAATGTGAAATTTGTCAACAATGTAAATATGAGCGTCATCCGATAAAAATTGCGATGAATCTCACCCCCACTGCATCAAAACCTTTTGAAATCGTACATATCGATACTTTCACTTTTGAAGGTTCAAAATTTCTCACAATTATAGACAGTTTTTCTAAATATGCTCAAGCATATCAGATTACTTCGCTTTCAGGAACTGAAATTGCTGATAATCTGATATTATTCTTTTCTCATCATGGAATTCCTACCCGAATTATCGCAGATAATGGTACTGAATTCAAAAATACCGTTGTAACTGAACTTTTGTCACTTCACAAAATTAAGCTTCATTTTATTTCGCTAAATCATCCAGATTCTAATGGAGTCGTTGAACGATTTCATTCAACTATCACCGAACATTTAAGATTGTTGAACACAGAAGGCTTTCAGAAAACCCCTATAAAAATGAAAATGTTGTATGCCGTTTTAGCCTACAACCACACCTTACATTCTGTAACAAAATTAAAGCCTATAGATATAATCAATGGACATATTACGTCGAATGAACCATTCGATATCAAAATCGACCAATTACTCCTCAATGACTATACCAACAGCCACAAAGAGCGTACAAAATTATTGTATTCAAAAATAAATTCTGATCTCATTCAAAACAAAGAAAAGACGCTAGAACGCATTAACAGAGATTGCGATAGTCCGACTATACTTGATAACCGAGAAACAGTATACGTCAAAAAGCATGTTAGAAAAAAGCACGCCAACAAATTCTCAAAGCCGTGTAGACTACAAAGTGTTAATACGGAGAAAAAGACCGTCGCGACGGACCAGCACGGAAAAGTGCATATAAGTAATTTGAAACATCCGCTACGCAAACTTTATTCGTTTGACTAAGCCTCGAGCAATTAGATAAGAAACTATGTATGTAATCTACGTTTACTTTACTCTTAATTGCACGCTAAAAATAAGATTTTCTTTCGAATATATTATTTTACAGGTTCCCAGGAATCATAGGAATCCATGGTACGATAACGTTGAAGAATTTAGAAAATAACCTAGGGTTGATACCCATGAAATTAGGGACCGCCAAAATTACAAAAAATTGTCACTCAATACTGTATTTTTACGACGTCAATTTAATAATTACTGAAGTTAATGACCTTAAGAAAAAAACTGAAAATGTTGCGACATTATCCAGGAAATATATTGAGCACTATAAACACTCAGCAAATTACCTCAATGTTTTGTATTTCTTAGAAAGAAAAGTAGACGGAAAGCTAAATGACATTTTTCCCTCTACTTACGAAACTGTTCCATCATTTTCTGTTAGAATAAAAAGGGGATTAATAAACGGCTTAGGTTCAATTTTCAAAGCAATCACAGGAAACCTGGATGCTTCAGATGGTGAAAAATTCGAGTCTCTAATAAGCGATTTGCAGAATGATCAAAACAAGTTATCAGAAGCTATCAATAGTCAGAATACCTTATCTGTCGAACTTATCGATAATTTCAATAAAACTGTAAGTCAGATTACTCATAACCAAAAGCTATTGGAAGCTAAAATAAATCAGCTTTCAACAGCTATGATTAACGCACAAGCCTACATAGAAAATGGCATTTTCTTGAGAGATACAATCTCAGAGATCATGAATATCTATCATATCATAATTTCAGTGCTCCAGGATGTAGAAAACTCACTTACTTTTGCAAAATTGGGAATTATGCACCCCAGTGTAATCAAACCAAAACATTTACTTCAAGCACTAAATTCAGTGGCATTAAAACTATCCACAAAGCAACTCCCTTTAGAAGTTACTTTGGATAATATCCCGATTTTTGAAAAGCTCATTAAAATCAGCTGTTATACAGTTGATAGAAAAATAACATACATTCTTCAAATTCCAATTGTTCATACATTCCAATTTGATTATTATCACTTATATTCAATTCCAACCTTTCATAAGGGTCTGTTCAAAGTAGTCATCCCTTCTGGAAAATATCTTGTAAAGAATGAGTTGTACTTCGCTTTTGCGGGAGACGCATGCACGGAAACGGTCGCAAAACAGTACGTTTGCAAAGAACTAGATTTAAGAAGAATCAAAGAATCCAATCCCTGTGAAGTTCAACTCCTGGTACAAAAACTCCCACTACCTGCCAAGAAGTAGAAGCCGTAATCACAGAGCCAGTAATGAAGAAACTGCATGATTTCGGACAATGGATCTTGCTTATACCCAATGAAACCACCATTACTTTAAGCTGTGAAGAAGGCCAAGAAACAGTCAAAGTTTTGGGATCCTACTTAGCCGAAATTCCAGTCGGTTGTACACTGGAACTAAATCAAGACCTGATCGCCAATCAAGAGCCTATATCGATTGGAAGTCAGCCTATTATTTTTCCAAACATAGATAGCAATACTTCAATTGCTACCAAGCCGAGTGACTTCAGCCTTCATCTAGACCAAATAGAATTTGATGAAGTTCACAAAGTAAAAAGAAGATTAATAGAAAATCGTGTTGACATCCATTCACATAAGGTGTCGCACATTCCCAGTTCTTGGACAATCCTGTTGTATGGAGTACTGCTGCTGTTACTTTGCTGTTTTGTCTACAAGAAGATCATTCCGAAGATTTTTACTAAGCCGAAGAAACCACAAAGAATCCCGATTGAAGAAGTTGATCTTTCCAATGTGCAACTTCCTCGTTAACCCTCGAAGTTGCATCTACAAGGGGAGGCGTTATAGTACAGAAGATTTACCCCTACCACTAAAGAAGAGGATCGAGTTTCCCTGGATCAGCGCTTTGCCTTATCCAGTCCTATTTTATTGTATTCAGAGTTAGTTAGTCTGTTGTTAGCGCTCATACTACATACATCAATAAAATTGTATTTTTGATAATCGAGAATAAATCTTTTTTAAAAAGCAAGTAGACTGACTCGGTCAGATAATTGGCGCAGCCAGATCGGATTTTCGGGCTGTTTCGCGAATCAATCGAGACCGCGAAAGCAGTTTTCGTATCGACGAATTTACCGGAAAAACGGCCTACGGACTAAAGACTTTGGTGAGTGGGATTTCGAGCGGAACCGGTCTATCGAAGACACCGTGTGCAGCTACCACCTACGAAGTCAGGGATTTGGACCACACATCGCCCAAATCTGCAAGCGGAACATTTTGGAGAAGGACCAGATCGCCCAACCAAGATCGTCCCCTTATAGTTAAGCAACCAAGTAAAGACAAAGAAAGAAACGTGATGCACTTGATCATCCTCGTATTAGCGTAAGTGCAACTATACATTTTAAATGTCTTTGGAAGATATTGCAGAGGCTATAGATAATTTGACACTTTCAACAGACTCACCTATTTTAAGACCACCTAGATTAAATATTGAAAATATTCCAAGCATGTCTCAATTCAGACCAGAATTTTTAAATTGCGTCCCAGAGTTTGACGGAAATCCTAATGACTTAAATAGGTTTCTATCAGTGAGTGAAACATTAATTGCAAATTTTTATGATATACGGAACCCACATAATTTCCAAAATATCTATTTGCTAAATTCACTGATCTCGAAATTAAAAGGAAATGCTAAAGTGCTTGTGAATATCCAAAATATCACAAGTTGGGCAGATTTAAAAGACATTCTGACTAGGAATTTTTCTGATCAAAGAGATGAAACTTGTCTAAATCGTGATTTGGTTATGTTGAGGCAAATGCCAAATGAAACGCCTCAAAAATTTTATGATAAGTGTCTTCATATTTTGAATCTGCTATGCAGCCATGTAAACGTACATGAACATTCTGAAGAAGCAAAAGTGTTAAAAAGAAATTTATATCAAGAATTAGCTCTGAAAACATTTTTGTGCGGACTACGAGAGCCCTTGGGTACAACAATTAGATGTATGAAACCCACATCTCTCAGCCAAGCTTTACAATTCGTTATATCTGAAGACAATGTCAGCTATTTCCAAAATTATAACAAAAATTTTGGAAAATCACAAAATGTGCCCCAGAATCAAACTTCCAGGCCAATGCAAAGGCCAATGATAAGTCAAAATAGACCTTCATACTTTCAGCCTACTAATTATTCATTCAGTCAGCCGAACACTTCAACATTTCAACCTAGGTTCAATTCGACTTTTCCGACTGGACCTGTAAATTTGCCAAAACCAGTTTATCGTCCTCAGAGATTTCCGACGAATTCTCAAGTTTTTAGACAAACACAGAATAACAGAAACGTTTTCAAACCTAACCCTAACCGTACTTTACCACAAACTACTCCAATGAGTACTTCTACTAGAATTTCTTTACCACAAACTACTCCAATGAGTACTTCTACTAGAATTTCTTTCAAACCTGAACATAATTCGACAGCCCAGCAACAACCAAAACCAAATTGGATCGCTGAAGAGCTATTCAATACAGAGATAGAAAGCAATAACACCTATGAAGTTCCTGGTAACGAATCTTTTGTTTGCGATCAAACTGTAGCTGAACCACAAAATTCAGATACATATTTCACTGATCAGTATTGCGAGTATTATACACAAGATATTCCTGAAAATGATCACGTAGATCCACCTCAAAATTTTCAGAAGGACTCATTCATAGAACACAAGACCTAGCACCAGAAGTAATTTCACTTAACGCCAGCAATGCTAGCGAACTATCCTACATTCTTTTTCCCGAATATGGAATTAAAATGTTGATCGATTCTGGATCAACTAAGTCATTTATTGATCCCAGTATTGCTCGTAAATTTTTTCCAAATTTAATCAGAGATGATCCATTCGTTGTATCAACTGTTTTTCAAAAATCCGCTCACAAATATAGTGCATCCATCCCGGCATCGAAAATTTTCAATCTTCCTAATCGTATAGATTTGAAGTTTTACCTATTTAAATTTCACAATATTTTCGATGGATTGATTGGATTAGATAATCTAAAATTATTGAGAGCCGATATTAATTTAAGCAAAGGAACTTTACACACGCCCTACGCCAAAATTAGACTAAAATTTCACCAGCTTTCTAACGACTTGAATTTGATAACCGTCGCACCTCGAACCGAACAAGTAATAAAAATCAAAACATCGATCGCCAATGGTGAAATCGTTATTCCTCATCAAAAATTTCATAATTGCGAGATACCTGAATGCCTTACGATAGCAAAAAATAATTTTGCGTTGACAACGATTTTGAATAACACTACTAAGCCTGTTACATTAAATTTTTCTCAGCCGATTTCAGTAGAATCACTTAATTTATCAGAAATGCCAGAAATTGATCTCAATTATTTAGACACGTCACAAAAATTTGATCTAGATTTGTCGAAAATCAGAATTGACCACCTAAATTCTGAAGAGAAATCAGGGATACTTCAACTTTGCAGAGAGTTTTCAGACATTTTTTACCAGGACGGAACTCCACTAACATTTACTAATAAAGTCAAACATCAAATAAAAACCAAAAACGAAAGGCCCATTTACACAAAATCGTATCGCTATCCATTTGTTCACAGAGGCGAAGTAAATAGCCAAATACAGAAAATGTTGGATTCCAATATAATACGTCCAAGTAGCTCAGGTTATAATTCACCTATCTGGGTCATTCCAAAGAAGCTAGACGCTTCGGGGAAGCAAAAATGGAGAGTTGTAATTGACTACCGAAGTTTAAATGAACAGACTATTGACGATAAATATCCATTACCCAATATCAACGACTTGCTAGACAAACTTGGCAGATGCCAGTATTTTACTACCCTTGACTTAGCGAGTGGTTTCCATCAAATCGAGATGGAGGAAACAGACATAGAAAAAACCGCCTTTAGTACCGAAAATGGGCATTGGGAGTTTCTCCGGATGCCTTTTGGCCTAAAAAACGCGCCCGCCACATTCCAACGCGTCATGGATAATATTTTAAGGGGGATACAAAACGAGAAATGTCTCGTATACCTCGACGACATTATAATTTTTTCTACATCCCTTCAAGAACATATTGAAAATTTAAGGTCAGTTTTCCAACGACTCAGAACTTCAAAATTTAAAATACAGCTCGATAAATCAGAATTCCTTCGTAAAGAAGTAGCTTATCTCGGACATGTAGTCACACCAGACGGCGTTAAGCCAAATCCAGATAAAATTATTGCCATCCAAAAATTTCCGATTCCAAAAACGACTAAGCAGATTAAAAGCTTTCTCGGACTTATTGGTTACTATAGACGTTTTATTAAAGATTTTGCGAAACTCACAAAGCCTCTAACTAAATGTCTAAAAAAGGGAGCCAAAATTGAACACGATGCAGAATTTATTGACTGTTTCGAAAAATGTAAAAATGTTCTTATCAATGAACCGATACTCAAGTATCCAGACTTTTCTAAGCCATTTAACTTAACCACGGATGCGAGCAACGTAGCCCTTGGTTGTGTACTTTCACAAGGCCCTATAGGACAGGATCTTCCTATCGCCTATGCTTCGCGCACGCTTAATGATTCCGAACGAAATTATAGTACGATTGAGAAAGAATTACTAGCAATAGTCTGGGCGACTAAATACTTTAGACCCTATCTTTACGGGAGAAAATTCAATCTAATTACTGATCATATGCCCTTAAAATACTTATGGTCCCTTCGAAACCCTTCTTCAAAATTACTAAGATGGAAAATCAGGTTAGACGAGTATGATATGAATATCATCTATAAGAAAGGCAAACTGAATACAAATGCAGATGCCCTATCTCGTGTAGAGATCCATACAAAAGAAACCAGTTCATTTTGGAACGACTTAGATGATTTGATTCAAGAATGCGCAGGTACTCAACACCAAAACGTTAAGTTTGACCGACCAGTTCAGAAAGGCTCATCTGAATTAAGTACACCTACATTTAACTTTTCTACCCCAAAACAACCTGATACCGAATCTATGTTCGTAAACGTCGATAATGACGAAGACAGTCTTTTTATTCAACCCCTGGACGAAATTGTAGATATCATTGAACATGAACAAGTCAATCTAGAATATCAAAATAATCGTCCTGAAAATCCAGACGAAACTGTACATTCAAATGCGGACCAACACCCCATTCAGACAATTCCTATAGTTGATTACGCAGTTAATCAGGGAAATAATCAGATTATCATAAGTACAGTAAAACATTCACCTGCACCACCAAAAATTTCTATTTTATTTGAAAGCAAGCAACGAATTAACGTACAATTTTCAGAAAATGATTTTGACGATGATGTATTTAAATTTATTCGAGATTATATTGCTCCTAACGTCATTTATCACTTATACTTTGAAAATCCAGATATATATGAAAAATTTTCTGTTGTTCTACAAAGGATGTTTAAGTCCGATGCTTTGAAATTCAAAATGTGTAGAACCAAATTAGTCGACGTTACAGATAAAACTGATATCAAGGACATTATCCGGAATTACCACGAAAGCAAGTCGAATCATCGTGGAATTGAGGAAACGCATCAGAGAATAAAAGAAAAATATTTTTGGCCTAACTTGAAAAAATCAATCCAAACATTTATAAATGAATGTGAAATTTGTCAACAATGTAAATATGAGCGTCATCCGATAAAAATTGCGATGAATCTCACCCCCACTGCATCAAAACCTTTTGAAATCGTACATATCGATACTTTCACTTTTGAAGGTTCAAAATTTCTCACAATTATAGACAGTTTTTCTAAATATGCTCAAGCATATCAGATTACTTCGCTTTCAGGAACTGAAATTGCTGATAATCTGATATTATTCTTTTCTCATCATGGAATTCCTACCCGAATTATCGCAGATAATGGTACTGAATTCAAAAATACCGTTGTAACTGAACTTTTGTCACTTCACAAAATTAAGCTTCATTTTATTTCGCTAAATCATCCAGATTCTAATGGAGTCGTTGAACGATTTCATTCAACTATCACCGAACATTTAAGATTGTTGAACACAGAAGGCTTTCAGAAAACCCCTATAAAAATGAAAATGTTGTATGCCGTTTTAGCCTACAACCACACCTTACATTCTGTAACAAAATTAAAGCCTATAGATATAATCAATGGACATATTACGTCGAATGAACCATTCGATATCAAAATCGACCAATTACTCCTCAATGACTATACCAACAGCCACAAAGAGCGTACAAAATTATTGTATTCAAAAATAAATTCTGATCTCATTCAAAACAAAGAAAAGACGCTAGAACGCATTAACAGAGATTGCGATAGTCCGACTATACTTGATAACCGAGAAACAGTATACGTCAAAAAGCATGTTAGAAAAAAGCACGCCAACAAATTCTCAAAGCCGTGTAGACTACAAAGTGTTAATACGGAGAAAAAGACCGTCGCGACGGACCAGCACGGAAAAGTGCATATAAGTAATTTGAAACATCCGCTACGCAAACTTTATTCGTTTGACTAAGCCTCGAGCAATTAGATAAGAAACTATGTATGTAATCTACGTTTACTTTACTCTTAATTGCACGCTAAAAATAAGATTTTCTTTCGAATATATTATTTTACAGGTTCCCAGGAATCATAGGAATCCATGGTACGATAACGTTGAAGAATTTAGAAAATAACCTAGGGTTGATACCCATGAAATTAGGGACCGCCAAAATTACAAAAAATTGTCACTCAATACTGTATTTTTACGACGTCAATTTAATAATTACTGAAGTTAATGACCTTAAGAAAAAAACTGAAAATGTTGCGACATTATCCAGGAAATATATTGAGCACTATAAACACTCAGCAAATTACCTCAATGTTTTGTATTTCTTAGAAAGAAAAGTAGACGGAAAGCTAAATGACATTTTTCCCTCTACTTACGAAACTGTTCCATCATTTTCTGTTAGAATAAAAAGGGGATTAATAAACGGCTTAGGTTCAATTTTCAAAGCAATCACAGGAAACCTGGATGCTTCAGATGGTGAAAAATTCGAGTCTCTAATAAGCGATTTGCAGAATGATCAAAACAAGTTATCAGAAGCTATCAATAGTCAGAATACCTTATCTGTCGAACTTATCGATAATTTCAATAAAACTGTAAGTCAGATTACTCATAACCAAAAGCTATTGGAAGCTAAAATAAATCAGCTTTCAACAGCTATGATTAACGCACAAGCCTACATAGAAAATGGCATTTTCTTGAGAGATACAATCTCAGAGATCATGAATATCTATCATATCATAATTTCAGTGCTCCAGGATGTAGAAAACTCACTTACTTTTGCAAAATTGGGAATTATGCACCCCAGTGTAATCAAACCAAAACATTTACTTCAAGCACTAAATTCAGTGGCATTAAAACTATCCACAAAGCAACTCCCTTTAGAAGTTACTTTGGATAATATCCCGATTTTTGAAAAGCTCATTAAAATCAGCTGTTATACAGTTGATAGAAAAATAACATACATTCTTCAAATTCCAATTGTTCATACATTCCAATTTGATTATTATCACTTATATTCAATTCCAACCTTTCATAAGGGTCTGTTCAAAGTAGTCATCCCTTCTGGAAAATATCTTGTAAAGAATGAGTTGTACTTCGCTTTTGCGGGAGACGCATGCACGGAAACGGTCGCAAAACAGTACGTTTGCAAAGAACTAG